CGCTTCTTTGTGCCCTGGGCTGCGGGAGGAGCGTCCCCGGAAAACCAAAACGCCAAACTACTACATAGCTGGAGCCTACACATTCAGTACACACAGCAGGCACAATAGTGCGCAGTAACACAGCAGCAGGCAACCTACACATCGAGCACACACGGGGCTGCCAACGCAGCAACCAGTAGTGTATACGTTCGTAGCAGCTGTCTGTCTGTGCTTCGGTTAGGAACCAACCGCAGAGCAACGTGGACGTTCCCCCTCCTCCAAGCGTGTGCATCAACAGGTACAACCACACATCATTCGCGAACACATATCATGAGTCGTCATCACAGCAGTAGTTGCATAAATAGTTGCTGCACGCTTCCTCTCCCGACTGAACCAAACTGCTGCTGGGGCACAAAATCTTCTACAAAGTCTTCAAACCGGGGGGGGGGNNNCGTGCAACACCTCCGGACATATATCTCGCTTCTTTGTGCCCTGGGCTGCGGAAGGCGCGTCCCCGGAAAACCAAAACGCCAAACTACTACCAGCAGGGGCTTACACATTCAGTACACACAGCAGGCACATCAGTGCGTAGAAACACAGCAGGCAACCTACACATTCAGCACACACAGCAGGCACAGCAGTGCGTAGCAACACAGGAGGCAACCCATATGTGGCTGCTGGTCTGCATGTGTCTACTACAGTAAACCAACAGACGGTTGCTACTGCCATGAGCTGTACAGTAGCACGGGGTTGCCAGCGCAGCATCCAATAGTGTATTCGTAGCAGCTGCCTGTCTGTGCTTCGGTTAGGAACCAACCGCAGAGCACCGTGGATGTACCCTCTCCTCCAAGCGTGTGCATCAACAGGTACAATCACGCATCATACGCGCACAAATAACATACTTGAGTCGTCATCACAGCAGTTGCTGCACGTCTCTCTTCGCTCTTACTCTGCTCTATCTCTCTTTCTTGTGCTCGAACGAATTCACGCTGACTCTCAGGCTGCTGCTGGGGCACGGAACAAATGCATACCCCCTAATCACATAATTTGCATGCGTACGGGTGGGGGGGGGGGTACTCATAGTCGTGCATGCCGTAGTCGTCGGACCATTGACCTCGAATCCCTACAAGGCCGGGACGGAGCACGCCGGGTTCTCACCGGACCAGGCTCTCACATCGCCAAGCGCGAAGCGCCGTGAGATATTCGGCGAGTCGCATGAAGGGTGCGCTG